TTAACAGAATTCAATACTCGATATTAGCTGGTGTGATTGTTGGTCCAGAAAATATTATTTTTCTTAGGTTTCAGTCGTTGCGGTAATTACAGGGTCAAGGGTGCCATCAAACATCAGCTGGATTCTCATTTGTACACGAACATCATCCCGAGTGCAATCAATACTAAACAAGTTGTACTAAAGAAAACATTTACAAATTAGTCTCAAAGAGGTGTGAATGAGCAGTTTCGATAAGAGAGCACAAAAGCCGATGAAAGGGGCCAAGGGAACTAACCTTCATCACTACTGATTCATTCCCAGTTGTTGGAAATACGAGAACTCCTGTGAGAATTCATCTGAAAATCACGGAACAGGTTTTCTCTGGGGTCAACGAGTTTCATCAGGAGGTGAAGAAGAAAAATATAGAATAACACGACTGTTTATCTAAGTTTTGATTTTTTTCACATCCGTTAAATCGGACCGATGGACAAAGGGTAAAGGTGACTTCATCTGTACAGAGTTCCTTTGTGCCGATCCAGCACAAGCTTTCCCAACCAAAGCGGATGTTTCTTGTCGAACGTTCTCAGTCAGCCATTTCTTTTAAGAATCGGCGATAAACATAATGAATAATGCAGATCATGCTTACATGCACACCTCATCAAAACCTAGAACAAACCGTCTTTTCAATAGACTCACAAACCTTGATATTTTTAAAGAAAACCACTCGAAGACTTCAGAAATGTTTTGTTATTTTGGAATTTCAAACATGATACTTTGCGTGATTAAAGGCCTTGAAAGGCGTTGGCACTACGCAGCTTTGAGTTTGACATCTGGGCTGTCAAATTCAGTTGTTTGATTAAAATGGGCGCTCAACTCATAGACTAGTACCAGCAAGACACACATTGATCGTATGCTGGTAAGTAGTTTCAATAGGAAAATAAGATCACGTTTGGTGGAAAAAGGAAAAGATTCAGCGTACCCGGTTAAAAGGGACCTTGGCAATCAAGTCTGAAATGTAAACATTATTCACGCTCTTTCGTGAAATTGTCAAAATATAATCGCATTGATTAGAATGTTCACTCAACACAATTTGTAAAGGTCAACAGTTAAATGATCGTGATCATGAAATTACGAAGTTGCGCTAAGGTACCAGAGACAATTTTCAGAGCTTGTCTCTGCTTCTTTTGGTATACGATGTGTGAGTTTACAAGTGCCTCTAATGAATCTAAAAGTGATTCGAGTTTATATTCATTAAATCCTGTTTCCTACCCGGACTTCTAAAAATTGTTATTTAAGGAAAAAGAGAAAAATTGAAATTTAGTGAGCTGTTGTTCGCTGATGAATTGAGGTTATTTGGGGATAACCTTATACCAAATTCTATCGAACCACAGGAAGACATTTCGTTGAAAGTTAGATTCATATCATGAAGATAATGATAACGGCAAAAGACCACCCATTTCCTTAAATAACTGAACAATTATCTTTCAATTTCTTGGTCAAATAGGATAGGCTTCGACCAAGTGAAACACATTCTAAATATAACTGTTATCATGATGAAGAAAAAATGCAGATAATCGAGAAAAACCATTTGCGGATTGAAACTTAAATTATGACACTAGTCTAAGGTATCAACACAAGTTTCTACAACTCACATGTTTCTTTGTAGTTTTTCTCAGATCAAATAATACGATAATTCAAATAGTCTCGATGTCATAAAACTCAGCAAGTTCACTGATTGTAAAATGAAACGAGTCTTTGCCGAGATAACGGAAATCTGAGGCATTAAATCATGTACTAACACTTTGCAAAAAGTTTCCCTTTCCGATTTTCTCTTAACACGACCGTAGAATCAAGAAAGTTTTCTGTCTTGTCGGTCAAGATTGTACGTCACGAAATGTCAGTGAGTGGCACGCGAGCTTCTTTGCATAATTGGCATTAAGAATATATTTGCGTGTTTCCAAACGGATTCTTGAAACCTCTTCAAATGAAGTACTTCAGTTTCTAGCGGATACGGATTATCCCGCTTATTTATTCGTCGCGTAAGTTTTTACAGATGCGAAAGAAGAGCTCGTCGAAAGTTAGTATTGTAGATGTGACCTATTTTGAGCTTTGCAAATTCAGATTTCACTACAAATGTCAAACACGTGAACTCTTTTAGCAAGGAGAATGAAAACATACCTGCTTGTAAATCTTACTTCAAGTTCTAACTGCCGTTAAATGTATTTCCACCTTCTCTGCTTGACTCAAGTATTCTTGCTTAATAACACAGGTCGTCTAGTAGCGACACCTGATTAACTTGAAGCTTAGTTTTGTGAAACCTTAGTAAGTGACACTGCAGGCCGTACCTTTTATACAGGATCTGCTTCTTATCAGACAGTCGAACCTAAACGGAATTGGGCGAAAGTCCCACAATATATCAGGTTGATAACATCTTAATCAAAGTGAGTGCACGCTTTCTTGTCAGATAGGAAATAGGCTCTGAAGTTTCCCGTGGAGAATATTTTCATCGTTTGCTAACCTACGCTTGTTTTACCACCAATATTTCCCGGTAGGCCGTCAATGCTGCAAGTTGTCTGACTGCGTTAATCTTTTTTGCATCTTTATCTTATGTCTACCTGAAGAACTAAGGAACATGCGTTTGAAATTGTAGCTTATTGTTTAACTTTCACAGATAAAAAGGACCCCAGTGATCCAAAGGGGACGAAGCTGCTTGACAATTAATGTCAATTTAATTTTCTGCTCGTCAAGTCAAACCACATTGTGTTCAGGATTCTAGGAATTGTGCAAACTAGTCGGCGTGGTTTATGTTCATGTATTGACTAGAAACATTCACTGGCACAAGACAATACAGCCTTAGTTTCACAGTAGGGTTCTCTATTCAGGTATCTTGTATTCACCTAACACATGTCTGTTATCATCGCTGAGGTACAGAGCAGAACATGTTTTTAAGCTAAATCTTCGACAGAAGCGCATTCAATTTATTTGCAATAAACCAGCTTAGTTTGTCGCTAAATGATTGTCTTTGTAAAACAGATTATAAACGGTTTTGACACTCTTTAAGCTTCCGGCTTAAAATATAAACAAAACGGCAAAAAAAAAAAAAAAAAAAAAAAAACCAGACAAATAGAGTTGGGAGGTATCTATAAGGGTTGAACATTTTAACGCATTTCTGTATCTCTATCCTCCACGAAAGCACCACAATTAATCAGATTTAGTTGGCTCAAATAAAGGAACGTCTTTTTGTCAGTTTAGAACAGCACTTACAGCCTAGCAAATCACCTTCCCGTGGACAATATAATTCAAAATTAGAACATTAGATATGATCGGTTTAAAATAATCGCAATTAGAAAGAGATTTAAGGATTTATGCTGATTCAGAAATGTTCTTTCCAGTCAAAGATAGCGCAACATATCTGTGGAAATCATAGGACTAACCATTGCCAAGATATTGGCGGGTGTATTTGATCGGCGTCTGTCGGATCAAGTCCTAGAACCTGCATGTTATTTTCATATTCTTTAAAAAAAAAATAGACAACAACAATCTACTTTACACTTACGACAAAAAAAACGGAAACTGAAACGACTGGAAAAAATAGTCATTGTGTAAAGCGGATCAAAAGAACCTTCCCACTCAGACTAAGTCGTGATTTACAATGAATCCTAAATAGTCCATACCTAAAAGGAAAAAAATGGGGGTGTTCGTGTCAGCCGCCCCATCTTATCGATTTAGTCACGTACCGTATGGTAAATCAATCTTCACTAAATTTTCACTAAATGACTTTCACATGTGTTTGGGTAGGAAATGTTCATTTCATTTCTTGTTTAGAACAATTCTATTTTATGGAAATAGATAAACTTCAATCACAGAGAAGAGTTAATTAAACTTGCCAGAGGATAAGTCCAGAGTGGATTGATACAATTTCTCAAACAGACGTTATATTCATTTAGTCCGAGTATGCCTCAACCCTTGAGGACAAGCAGTTCACCCCAACTAATTGCATATTTAGAAGTTTGTGGATATTTTCTTTTAAAGGAATTTAAACTGATATTTTTTTCCTTCTAAAAAGATGATTTGCTTCAAGGAAACCTCACTGGGTTGAATGTGAATCATCACTTTAAGTTTTATAAGGTTGTGCGAGACGGAGAACGAGAGACGCATGGAAAACATTACGGCTTGTAAGGCTATTAGGGTCATGCAACAAATGTGTTCCATAAAAACCACATTGATTTCTAGATTAATAGATTGCGCTAGCCACGCATGGTTTCTCAGGCCGGGTGGTAGATTATTTTAACATTGTTCGATATCTTACCACCACAAATTGTATTATCAAGTATTATGTATACTCAATGAGCTATGTATAGCATTGAGTTGAAGTGGGACTGCAAATCATAGCTGCTTCGAGAGATCGAATGTGAACAGTGGAATAACAGCTGTTACTTACTTAATATACTGAGCTGTAAGAGAACTTAACTCCACCGTCGTGTACCTAGTTGGAAATATTCAAACTTGGCTGGTCCGTTTGTTACTTGTAGGAGAAACTGACTTTTTCAATTAATGAAGTGGGCGTTTGAATGTCTTATAATAAGATCGAATCCTGTATGGTTGCTTTCTGTGGGATCTCTGATCATGGAGCCAGGCAAAAAGTAAGGAAAAACTAGACTGGCGCTCGATTAGAATTAGCTCCATCATTGTGTGCATGACCATGATAAAGCATGTACACAATTAAGTTGAACTAAAATGCGCAACACAGGGACAATTACGAGGTGCGCTTTTCTTACTAATAACTGTACAAAGTAGTATGTTGTCGGTTTTTAAGACAGAACCGGATTCACTGAAGGTATAAAGGCTATGTGTGGCCGGTAACGATTTATTGATAAGAAGGTCAAACGTAAAATTAGCTTATCAATCTCTCCCAGTCGCCACAAGGTGTAGATCAAAAAGAATTTAATTAAGGAAAAAATAAGGAAAAAAGATCTTCTTCCCGTTTCCTTCCATGTTTTAACGCATCCCAAAGCCGGAACATGGGCGTGGCTCACGAAATAGAGCCGTGTCCCGCCCTCATGACTCCACCAAACTCATGCACCTCCATTCAGCGGCCTTCACAAGTAAACATACGAAGCAAGAAATAATACCGCGTACAGATTTGGAATATCAGTGGTCGAAAAGCGGAAATCCCCAAAGAGCAATAAATAACTGGATTGACTGCGGTAAGAAGAAAAAAAAAATTTTTGCATATTCGCTCCCCCGAATATGTTTGAAAAACATGCGCATGCCATGGCCTTAACCCATGAGGATGCGAGTTGACTTTCCTGTCAGACCTGCGGTTTCTGCCTAGATAGGTAGTCAGTGATTACCTCTGCTCAATTCATTACTCAAATTACCTCCATCATCTCTTGATCTGATGTACAAGTTCAAGTATGAAGAATTCCTTAAGCAAAGCCACCAAAGTTCATAGCACTAGTCAACCGCAAAGAACCCAGGAGCTTCCTACTTATGCTCGCGAACATCCCAAGTAAATTGAACAAGAGGGAAAAGAACTTGTTTTGTAGTTGTCTTTCATGTGCCATACCTTCTCCCTATGCAGTCAATCACAACGTGGTGCTGTCTTATGGGGGTGGAATTCTAGATATTCGCATAGACCCTCTCTTATTGCAAGGCCGAGATCTTTACACCCGTGGGTTACCTACATGCAATGCCATGGCTAATCCAACACAACAAACATTCATACCAAAAGGTCAAAATCAATTCATAATTGGCTTTCCAAAGGAAATTTTGTTTGATGGTGATCTGACGGAAGCTTTTGGATCTTTTCAATACAATAGTTAAGACACGTAATGGAAATCCTTGTTCGTTGAAAGTCTTCAAAAATCAAGAAGAAGCAAATAGTATTACAAAGAAATGAATCAGATCATGCCCACGCTTCTTTTTCAGAGATTTTTTCCTTTTCAACGGCTGCCATATGCACAAACTAGGATTATGAAAGAAACATCAAAATTAAACTGAACTAAGAAATCGAACGAACCAGGAGAAGTTGCAGACAAAATCGACAGAAAGCTTCGAAAAACATCAACTCTTAAATATCTATTTAACGTTTGGTATTTCGTTTATTTGTTAGTGAGATCTCACAAGACTGATAACAAAAGAAATTTTATAAGTAGTTCCTTTTTTATTCTCTCTTCTCTCTCTGTTTATAACAAAAGAGAGTTGATAAGTAGTTCCTTTTTTATTCTCTCTTCTCTCTCTGTTTATAACAAAAGAGAGTTGATAAGTAGTTCCTTTTTTATTCTCTCTTCTCTCTCTGTTTATAACAAAAGAGAGTTGATAAGTAGTTCCTTTTTTATTCTCTCTTCTCTCTCTGTTTATAACAAAAGAGATTTGATAAGTAGTTCCTTTTTTATTCTCTCTTCTCTCTCTGTTTATTGCGACCAGCTGTCGTCTCCTCATCAGGAGGCCTCAGCCTGCAGACTGAAATAATCTCAAAAAAGCTATTTGAAAATCCCTTCCTGCCAGCGAACGAAGACAAATGACACACTTATTATGTATTTGAGCATGGGAGAATAATCGGAAAGTTTTATGGGATCATTTGGCTGCAAGCAAGAAACTAAATTAATGTACCGTTCAACATTGCCACCTTAGATACTCTCTCACTTAATATCTTAGCTTCTTCACACACATTCAAGAGCCGTAGTTCAACAATAAGATAGTTACTTTAGATAGGTCTATTTTAGACTGACGAGGTCTTGATTCTAACATGTAACCTTCTAAAAACAAAGTTGTTCAAAGGACGAGTGTGATTTCTGTAACAATATCCTTGCAGTTTTATCGGCAGTAACTGGCTTACTAGCTTTTGTATGATGACCGTACAACCCCTGAATGCGTCTGGCAAATTATGAACTCTTAAAAAGTTTAATTATGATGCAACTGGTTTAAGTCCTCAACATTGTCTTAGGGGGAATTTTTAGTGACAACTTTCCAGGTGAACGATGACTTTACAATTATAAACGACCCTAAAATGTAACCCTCCGAGAAAAAAAGAAAAATTTCCCATCGAAATAGCAATACTCTAATTTGTTGAACGTAAAAAAAAGGAAACTGTTTTACCAGTCAAAAGCGAAAGAGAATCCTTCGCGTGTGTAACTTTTAGTTGCATCTATGATTCAAGTGGTCGAACAGATAAAAAAAGATTTGGCAATATGGTCTATGACTTTGACAATTTGCAGGTGACATGATATTCCTCCTTGACAAGCTTGTCTCCCCGCATCTTTCTTCTTCGAAAATTTAGACGTTTAAAACCATCTTATTGCTCTATTGTTTCGAGAGTAGTGGTTTAATTCCATGTATTCCTTTCAATTTTCGGGCTAGCAAGATATTTCTGTCCAGGCCAAATTCTTACCAATTTTTTTCCACTCGTTCTCCAGCTCAAACGTCGCGAAAATGAGTGGCAGAACAGTGAAAGCTTTATAAATATTCTTTTCTGTGATAAGTTTCCTCCCATTGGCTACTGAATTGCAACCTATTCACACATCCGAAATGGGAGTTTTCTTGCGGGAGAAGGGTTCCTCAATCTTTTCTCAATGTTTGTATTCATTACTGTTGTTGCTGTTTAATTTCATCTCAGAGATCTCTTTTTTTCGATATGAAAACAGCTGTGTGTCTATCATGAACGAAACGAACCCTCCAGTTGAACCACTAAATGAGGAGCTTAACAGTTCTACAAGATGGAGAGGGGGGACTCCTATGGACTTCAATTATCAACAATATGGCGCTCTTGAAATAAATTTTCCCTTCAGAATTAGACTAATGAGACTAATGAGTTTAGTAATTTAATCAGCTAAGTCATTTTAGTTTTCTTTTGGCGAGGATGAATTCAGAGAAATGTTTTTTTTTTCTTTTCGAGTCGCTGTAAAAGGTCTGCGTCCGAATAAGAAAATATGTGGAGCTTAGTTGTGCACATGTTTATGTCGAATGTGCTACTCCATTTCAGTTACAGAAAAAAGATTTCACAACACTTCTTCAGAAACATTTTTGCCTGACTGAAACACATCCAGGGAGAATTATAAAACGGTTTGGCTGCTGGAATGATGACACCTTCAGCTTGGCCCTACATATATATGTCAAATTTCTAATTTTTTTCTACATGACGTAAACGCAGTATACTTTCTTTAGATCTTTATCAGTCAAAGTTTTTTTCACGAATCGAAGAGATTCAAAGAAAGATTGTTTCAAAATAGTGTTCTCCTTCAGTTATATGCTTCAAGTTAATTTTTTGAGAACCGAAACAATACACCGAAGATTAAAAGGAGAGTAATGTTTTCATTGTTCGTAAAAGGAGTATTTTGACCAAAAGTGTCGGAAATAAAGTCATTGAAGCAAAAGTTTAACGTTCTTTCACTTTAGGCAAAACCTTTGAATTGAGGGCAAAGGCTTCACCTAGCACTGCCCAAAGGTTTATTCCTTAAAACGTGCCACGTGCAAGCGCCAATTGAAGGACTCCAACGTACTTAGATAAAAACCCAAGGAAAAACGGACTTTGATACTCATTCACCTCTTAGCATTTCCTTCCGTATTGACGAAAGATCATTGAGCTTTGGTTTACAGAGAGCAGAACTCACGTCCTCCGAGTTTTTATGCCTTTGAAAAACAACCCTTGAAGAATAATTTTTGGGGACTAAGAGTAGCAAAGAACCGTCAATCTCTATCAAACTGGAGATGTGATATGGAGCGAAAATTACCGAGATTAACTTTTTAAGCTTACTTAGCGCTTTCTTCTCTAAAAAAAAAAAAAAAAACCCGAAAAAACAAAGCTCTTGTTTCACTACAGACGATCAGTTCCGAAGAGATTGCCTTACACTATATTGTTTGTTCCTGACTAAGCGCTTTGGACTTCTGATATCAACCATCAGAACCACAAAGCATTACGGCATTCACAGCCGCAGACCATCATTACATTTATCGATTTTGTACAGTTGCTGTATTGAACAGTTGTTAATCGCCATAATAATGAAGCAAAACCATCTTAGGATGCTGACCAACACGACGGAGGAAATCCATGTTCCCTGAACGGATATTGCAAGTAACATACCCGACTACCTTTCACAAACATGGTCAGTTTGTACCTCCCCATGTTAGAAAGCAGTGTAATCAGTTGAACACTCTTGTTTTATTCCAGTATCAAGTGTGCAGCAAGTTAAAACCCACATCTTTTCTTTATTTAGATTTACATTACTCTGTGGGAATTTACAATGTAATTCTCTGTTGGAGCCAACGGGAACAAGGATGGTGAGCTAAGAACTGATCCATGTGTTTACAACGATAGCTACGGTATTGTTTAAAATTAGAAGTCACAGATCAACTTCAATTTACCAATTGGTTAATTCAGTTGAAGTCAAAGTGATTTGTAATTTATTATTCATATTCTCGAAGAATACACGTAGTCAAAAGTTATGAAAAGATTAACAAGATATCGTAATGTCCTCGGCCATCAAAAACATAATCACTCGATCATATACATGTATCTTTCTTCCCCTCTCTATGTAGTACGCACTGTACCTTTTTTTGCATAAATTTACGCAGTAAGAGCTTAGCAAAGATTGCAGTAATTATTTCGTACAGCAGTAAACTATCCTCAAGTATGGCACTGTCAGTTATTGGTCTATGCATGTATGTAGTTTCTCTCCAGAACTGTCTTGTGAAACAGCACTATTGCTGATCACAGACAATGGGATATTGTCTTTCTGTTCCTTCGATTCTTTGTTGTCAGTCGGAAACTAACATTACAACTTTTAATCATGTCAGTAAGACTGTAAAATTGAATAGCCAAACACTTCAAGCACTTTGCTTGTCTGTACAAGTCAAATACTCATGATCATATCAAATTGCAATAAACAATTCATTTACAACCCAAGTTAAAAAGAAGTAAAAGTTATCTCTTTGTTTTTGTACCGTTAAGAGAAGACCCTGAAACACAAGCTTCTTTTGAAGTTTCCGCGAGTATTTTCCTTATGGGCCAAACGTAAACTAAGAAAAACAAACTAACAAACCAACCTTTGAGGGTCGACTTCCGCCTTTTGTGGTCGATTAGGCGAGTTCTTGAACACGATGTAGCGTTACTCTACAGCTAACTTCGCGGTCTATTGCGTTTGAAACTTTGGCAGAATTATTATGAGCTGCGAGCAGAACCTTTGTTCTGTTGCTGAAGGTATCTAAACCACATCTGAGACATCATCTGTTTTTGTAACTTTTTGGGTGTTTTTTTCTCTGGTCACGAGGCCATTAAGAAGACGCACGGTGCATGTTCAAAATTCTTTGGGATATCCGGCCACCATAAATTAGTTTTACACTCGCAGAAACTTGATGAAACTCAGTGTGAGGTAGAGGTTCATTAATCAAAAAAAGGAAATGGCAAAGTACTTTTAATCCGACGTTGTAAGCTATCACTGTCCCAAAAACCCGTGTAAGGCAGGTTTTGCTCTCAGATGGAGAACACATAACAGAAAAAAGTGTCATTTGCCAGTGATTGTCTGCTTTATGATTGCTGCCATCAGGGCATGGGCTAAATACCATCGTTTATTCTTCACATTAAAGTGACTAATGACGTAAACAATTCCTACTGATGGTGGGAAAAAATAACGTTCTGACCTAACAAGGAGCAACACAAATCATGCAACTTTCTCTCCACTGGGTAAATACGTTACTCTCTCAATCTCACATTTCTGTTATTTCCGAGGCAGCAATTTTTTTTCGCTATTTCTGCTATTGTCTGGCTGTTTGTAATATTTCGTGTAAACACTCCAAAAAGTTGATCGAAAGTTAAAACGCGTAATTCAAATTTGATTATTTTCCACTCTGTTCAATCGTAGGCAACTCAAGCACGCATAGGTACAGTTATATGCTCTGCTAAAAAACTGAGGTGAAAAGATCATCCTTTGCAGCTAATATATTTCGCTTAATTCAAGTTGAACTATACAAATTTCAAGTTGAGATGTATCAATACTCCGGCAAAAATCTTTACACCATTAGTGGAAACAGCAATTAAGTCCCGCCCTTGATTAAGAGTGTGCGTGCAGACCGAAGCGATCAATTCATTGCAGGGGACTTAAAGGGGCAATCGATGTAAAATGACTGTCATCAATAAGTATGCTCACAGCTGACCTTTTCTCCCCAGGTTTCGCATTTGTTTTAATTCGTCTGGTACAATTTTTTTTTTGTTTGTTTGTTTCTTTGTGTGTTCATTAATACATTTTTTTCTAGATTAAGTGCCGTGCCGACTAAAATTCATCATGGGCTGGCACAAGTCCAATTACAGTGAGTTCAATGTTTCAAGCACCAAATTTTGTTTTGTTTTCTGTTGTATGATCTGATTTAGAGATTGACCTCAAATAACTGCTATCACATTGAATATTCACTCCTTTTCAGAAGGTAACAAAGTTTCTGCTCATTGCTTGAAAAGGTATCAAACACTAATCTGATCCCTTCTGGCTATACCACATTCTGCATTCTGCATAACTTCACTCTGGCGAAAGAACCAACGTTGGGCGAAACATCAGCCTTTGAAACTCTTTACCGTGGCCAATGTATAGTTGATAAACCAAGCTATCGTTGAATACTACATTATACTTATTTTTCTTACTCAGGCAACTATACTGGTCTTAAGGTCTTGTTTCCCTCGATATCTCGTCTCTTGTGAGAGTAAGTGTCACGAAGTGTCACATGGAAACTCAACTGAACACTGAAAGGCCCTGGGAGCGAGTTTGAAATTCAAAACTAGACTGGGGAGAGGAATTTCAACATGGTGGACGAATTGAAGTGAAATACGATCTTTAGGGTATAGATGGAAGAAAAGCGACGCAAGCCGTTTAAAATTTGCAATTCAGAGCGTACAAAAACTCAAGGAATTGTTGCAGAAAGCCTAAAAGAACTGAAAGAAAGGGGAAGTTCAAAGTTGGGGATAGTAGCAGGGAGCTGTCGAGTATTTCTTGACAGTGATGGAACTGAGATCGACGATGAAGAATATTTTAGCTTCTTGGAAGATCAAACCAAACTTATGATTGTTTTTGACGGGGAAGATTGGACAGCTGGCTTGCAGAGTACGTAAGGATTATCTTTACTGCGTTTTGCCTCTTTTTTTTTTTTTTTCAGTTTTGCACCAGTTTATCAAAGCGATGTTAAATGTTGTGAAGTCAGTGTTGTTTGAGTTTTTCTCTTGTATCGCGATCATCGCTAAGTTTATATATTGTTACTCTAGTATAGTTCAGAATGAAACACCGTCAAAACAGACGGTACATCATTAAATGTTAACACTTGGAAATCGGTGAAAATGTGAAGTTACACCTTATTTATGGTGAGGCAGTCACTTCCTGCACGCATCCTAGATTGTAACCAACAGGTAGACAAGGTCCAGTCGAACTGTTTTTTGTCCAGCCTGTATTTGACTATTGAAGTTAGAACAATCTTTTCCCATGGAGTAGTTAGCCCTGATGTAAACCTTGTGTATAACCCTGGCTATACTTTGACCAGGTACACAGTTTGTGGGAAGAAGCATAAAGTATGTGAGGAAGTAAACCAAGGGAGACTAAGGAAAGTGAAACCTGTTAACAACTGGCCGAGAAATTCATCAGGCAACTTAGTTTCATTTCTCATAGCCAAAAAGTTTTGGTTGCAGTCAGATGTTGTCAATTAAGATCACTGTCAGTCAACTTTCTTGAAACTGTTATCATCTTGAGCATTAATTTTGACTTTGTTTAAGGACTCAGAGTCATAACATGCAGTCTTAACCAGGGAGGAGGGGGAGTACTACCTTAACACCATAATTTTGCTTGAATGTTATCACTTCCCTTGCTGAAATAATATTACAGTTCAAATCTCATGGCAATTTCATTAGTTTTAGGAAAGATGGCTGATACATTGTGCAGCTGTGGGAAATGTTAACATCAGACTGTGAGAAATATCATCTAACTGTGATAAATGTTTTAAGCAATGTGCAAAGAAATTCTTTATGGTATTACTGTAAGAACATACTGATTTTCACTTACCTGCTATTTTTGCTTGTCTCCCCTGTCTGAGCTTAGCACATGCCATCTTTCTCCTTTCCGAGATATTGATGCTTACTCTGGATTGGTCCTTAAGCAGAATTGAAATGCCTTAACTCAGAGAAATTGCTGTATTATCCATTCAAAAACACCAGATTGTTATGGGCAGTTGAAAATTAGAAGGAAACTTTTACAAAGTACATGCCTTTCCTGACTCTGACAATTCATGATATATTCAATTTCAGTTTTTAAAATCATCGTTCCTTTTTTTCCAAATTCAACTTTCTTTTCTCATTCCATCTTGTATGATTTTTCCTAGACTTTCTGAATTTCCATGTTGGGAAAACTTGAAATCAACATACACTTTATTTTACAATGTATAATTGACTATTTGAGGGACTGGTTGTCATACATGAACATGTAGGTGCACATTGAATGTGTATTAGATAGCCACTCAGGTGCATATGCCCACTTATCAAATATCACAGGGAATGCAAAACAACAAAGTACCACCATTTAAGTCTCTCATTTCTGTTACTGTACCATCCAATGGCACAATGGTGTTTTAAACTTCATAATATCGTTTGTACGGCTCTCACTAGATCACCAGGGCTAATGCTTAGTGACTAATAAACAAATCACACTTACAACCAACAGATATAGTGGGAGCCTCATTGCAATGTTGCTCTTTAATATAGTTAATGTTACAGTAGAGTGTTTTTTATGTAGGGAGCTTTTCCTTCAGGGTTTCAATTTACAGCAAAGGGCATCACAATCAGTAATTTCTTTAAATTAAAGCTTCTTAACCAACCTCTTAAGTTCTATTGTGAATTTGATTGATTAAAATAACTTTCTTCGAGATGGTGATACTCTTCAGGAAATTGTAAAATAAAAACCATCGAGGGAGGAAAGTTGACTTTCAGGAATGTGTACAGAGTGAGTTTATATGGATGTCAGATGGGCTTTTGAGAAGCAGATGTGAGAGGAGCTGTCTGCCTACCTGAGTCTCCATAAGGAAAGAGCTTCCAATATATGGTTAAGAATTGCATCATTGAATAAAATCTTGCATTCTGATTGGTTAACAAAGGGGGGTATTTAGCGAGGAATAGGAAGTTGAAAATGTGATATTGTTTCGCATCTATGTATGCAAAACAACTGAGTAATGCTGTTTTCTTTTTTTTTTGTTTCTATTCAGTTATGTGATTCAAGGAAAACCCATTACTTGACTCATGAATTCTGCTTTATTAAATTGCACTTGAAAACTGATAGTGCTTATCACTTCGCAATACATGTGACGTCGGTTTTCACAAGCAATTTCATGCGGAATTTCCTTGTCAATAATTAATTTTCCTATACAATTGTTATTACATCCTTTTTTAATTATGATCAAGAGTGATCCTTGTAAAATGAGTGGCTCTCACCGTGGGATTTGTTATTAATAGGCTCTTTGCATGGCTTGATCATGTGATCAACTTTTGCTAAACATGAAAACAGTTCACTTTTGAAAAATCTTGTTAGCACAAGCTGAAGGAGCCCATTAAAATTAGGTAACCTGAGAATTTTCAGTTGTATATCTCAAAACTAGCAATTGCAACAGCCACTGAACAGTTGGAAGGATTGATTTTTGTATGAGAAGAATAACTTTTGCCACCCAATCATGCTGACATGGTTTTCCATACAAATCCTTGTAAATTCTAAAATTTTCAAAACTGTCATAAAATCTTTCCTTATGCATTTATGGGCTCAAATTGCCTGTTTTTAATTAAAAGGAGACTTGAGCCCTGTAATGCTTAATGAAATATTTTATTGGAAGGGCAAGGCATATCCAGTAAGGATGGTGATGAGGTAATGAATTACCAACATCTCACAGTATCTCTTGCCTTTAAAAATCCATAGATTTTGGATATAGTCAAGGAAGTACAGAACTTAGTATCAGCAGTGCTGGGGCAAGTTTGGAAACCAATGAAAGCATGGAATTTGACAGGACTGATGCAGGAGAAACAGATGGCATTCCACCTGATCTTCTGATAAGAATGAAAAATGACCCAGCATTTTTTATCTCATTTTCTGATGAAAGACTCCAAGACGTGATTAATATTAAAACAGATTCACTTGCAACTGTCATGGGCAGAAGTGTTATTGAAGCCGAGCACATCATGGACACATGCCAGCAAGAACTGGATCGAAGGGCACAACTAAGGGAAGCTACTCAGTTATTAAAACTTTTACAAAGAGCTCAAGAAAATCAAGCCTCTGAAAATGAGTCACAAAGTGCTGGAAATAAACGACTTAGGACTTCAACTGAGTGATATCTCCTAGTCAACAGAACATGTCAAACATTTTATCTAAATAAGAGTATTTTTTTAGTCAAAAATTTCCCCCATTCCTGCTTTACCAATAGAAAACACTTCAACAGTCAGTCTTCTCCTTTCATAATTGTTTTTCTGCTTGAGAGATAGCACACAAAAAAATTCATTCCATTATGAATCATACCACTGAAGCACAAAATTAGAAATGTAAGGTGAACACTGAAAATTTTCATTAAACTCTGGAAAAATTTGAAGTTCTCTGTTTTGTAACTAAAGAGCACCCACTGTATACACCTGTACATCACACTTTGGTAAAAAGATAATTTATTTGACAAAATAGTACAGGACCTAATACATGTCACACACAGCTCTTCTCCATTTAAAATACTACAAACTCATTTCTTTTACATCAAAACAGAAAACAAAATGAGATTGATCCCTTCAGCAACTTTAAATAACCCAATAATCAAGCAAACTAGAGCCAGCTCTACACAGGAACATGCTCATCATTCGTGAGCTTTTTCCACAAAATGATGTAAGCCAGGTATTACAGTGAGAGTATCACGCTCAGTAGCCATCAGGTCCAAAAGGCTTAAATGTAGGTTTATCCCTTTCAATCTTCTCAATATCAAATGGCTGCTTTCCAAGCCGAGGCTTTCTTTTCATCTCTTGGCTGCAAACAACAGGTTGAGGAAAGATCAACTGGAAATATAACATCTCAGCACAAGTTTAAATGATAAACTCATAACAAAAGAGAAGCTTCAATATGCAGGTACGATAAAAAAAAGATTACCTCCATGTTTCTTTCCGACTTAGTTATGGTAACAATATTGATTTCAATAAGAGGAGTAGTTGGTGTTGAAAAGAAGGTTCCTTACAATGAGCTAAACCCTAGCAAATTCAATTTTGTGTGAAGGTGCTCTACAAGATGCTCTGTGAGATGCTCTGTACACACAACAACACAGAGCCATAGGGAAGTTAATGGAAAGCTGGACCATAGGCTACAAGTTGGTTACAATTCTGCTTACTATAATGATGACCAGTGTTGAAAATGATTTTTTGTAGATACTAGGTGGCTATCATGGCCACTTTGAACTCTATTTTTAAATTTAAATGGGTCAAACATGAAACATCGATGGAGTAAGAGGAACAAAATGATTCTTGGTAGAGCTTAGCAACTGAGTTACAGAGAATTTGCTAATCAGCTAGGCCATATACAAATCTATATATTCAAGTGCATATGCACTAGGGACAAACATGAGTAATGTTTAACTTTCAGTACCAGCTAATGTTAATGGTTTTTTTTTTTTTTTTATATATTTGAGAGAGTTAAGTGGGCAGGGAGTCTACAGAAACAAATAAAAATTATTTACATAGATTTTTGTGAAGAATAATGATATTTATATGAAGTTTTAAAAGATACAAAATGTCCATTTTTTCTTTGACATGACGCATGTGATTCTCTCGTTTCTCTCTGTCAACATCAGGATCTGCCATAATGTACTTCATCATGAGTCTTGTAATCAAAGGCTGTTGACAAAAATTCAGAGCAAGACAGAAATGATTTTAAAGGTGTAACATCTACTAGTTTGTGTTCTACTAATAAAATAGGATAAAATGTATGTGTGTATCAGTATCCACAGTACATTGTTACATTGATACAAAAAATGTTTCAGCACATGTTCATCACAGCCATAAATGACAGACTCATGAGAGCTCACCAAAAGAATGACTTCTCACAGAGAAAGGAAATATAATGCATAGGTATGTGCACGAAAACAAAAAAACTTAACATAATCTTACATCTCTTTTTCCTGTTTCATCAGGTTCCTCTGTATAATACCATTCATGAAACAAAGTGAAAAAAATTTTTTCTCAATTGAAAGTAAATCAAAATATTTATGACTATAATCCTTGAAAATACCTGTTCTATTATTACAATGACACTGTAAACTACACACATTTGCATCCAGACGTGATGAAAATGGGCTGTTTAGTTAATGACACCAAAAGGTTATAACAAACAACAGATGTGGTTCATTCTAAATGATTAACTTCAGCTTTAACTTCTAAATGATTAACTTCAGCTTTACAAGGTAACTGTGCACACTTATTGCATCAGTAATGTTGCCATTGAACAACACAAGTCTGCCACATTGCCTCACCTATGAACTGCTCATAAAATAGACAACCCAACACTCCACTGATGAACAATATGGACTAACAAACAAAAAAGAGAAAAATTTTTCTTAGTGAAAATACATTCTGCCAACTGTAACATGAGAATGTCAAAAAGAAACTCTAAGAATAAAATGCTACATGTACCACTCCACAGAGTGCAATTATTCAGAAAATGAATCAAGGTGGCTTACTCAGTTTATGGGGGTTGCTAGATGATTTGGATAATATGATCACTGGTGCTCATTGTGAGCAAACAAACAAAAACATATGTACAGAGTAAAATCCAACACATAAGACAATGGGTGCTTTTACCATACTCTTGCAAGAAGGATTTCAAAACAGGTGCACTGGGCTCTGATTCTTTGTGAATGTTTCTCAAAAACCTCCCATACAACCCTACCATAAAATTATGTTATAAAAACTCAAAATCAAATTAAATGTTCATACAAGTTAAAACAAAAATACATCAGAGAGGATTTCTTATTCCAACAAAAATTTGTCAAAATGTGGGAATTTTTGACAATAACTTAGTATCTGTCACACAGTTTTAGGTAAAAAATGTCTGAAGACTGTTGCTAAGGCATTGGTAAAAAAACAGAAATGCAGCTTAAGTTTTACAGCTAGATTTTGTGAAATCTGCCATCTCAATATCATTTATAAAATTAACCATCATTTTGCACATGCACACTCCTACATACTTTGGAAGCAACATATTCACTTGTGTGCAAGTGCATCACAAACAACTTGTACAAAGTCAGTACTTTGTTGGCATGTTACATACTATGACTTCAGCTTGTACAGGGGGTGTTTCATATTGTGTTGGATAATGTGCAAAGGATTGTCAAATTGGCAAACAGGGAGGAGATTAAGACAATTTTAACTCTCCACATTTCTGCACCTAACAAGCAGTCGTTCTAGCACGATACAGGGCCCACAGTGACACAAGTTGTTCATAACCACGACACCAAACATGTTCTGAGTGATAACTCAAAATTGTGTGAATGTAAGAAACTTTGTAGGCTCCAAGCTCAACGTATCAAACAAAACTCAATGTGGACATCAAATTGTTTGGGTTTTCCTTTGGTGGGTCCAAGTGTAGATTTATTTTTGTCACACTCATACTGCGGTAGGCCACCTTAAAACCAAATTGAATATAATAAAGATTGGCCTGTCAGTGGTGTCACTGTACAAAGAATCTTACCGGGGTTTTCCAGTCTGTTATGATTCTATGTAACAGGCTACGCTCTTCAGTTTTCTCTGTATAAATTTCAAATTTCCTAACAGGTTGACTCCTTTTCACTGCAAATGAAAATCCAAGAAATAACAGGAATTAAACTGGCACCGTTCCTTGTACTGCACATTATTTCAATGAACCGACGGTGTGTCAAGCCCCCGCGAATGTGAAATACATGTACAGGTCAACGACAATAAGGGTCCGATCAACCACGGAAACTATGATGTGCTCTCCAGAAAGTAGTTCAAAGTATGGCTTTTTTAACACTACTCTAAATATATATACGATATATCCGCTGATGTATACGGCATCACTGAAGTTCGGGGCTAAAGTTCGGTAAAATTTAAATAAGCGTAGAATATGCACTTCTTTTGTGACTGACTGGAGTAATTCATACGACTAGAAAACAACTAATATCGCCTTTGAGACTACTATAAGACTAAATTTACATGTCTTGTTGAAGGAGAATAGATGGACTTACCGAATCGGTGAGAAACCTGAGCTATTCGAGTGTACAACAACTGCCCTCGTAAGGCGGCCATCTTGAACAAAGGTGTATTTGGCCCCAGTGCTCTTCAAACCGAACTCACGTGTAACGCCTGGCAAAGATCTGCTCTCCTCGCTCTCCTCCAGCTCCCTTCAGTTTTTATCAGCTCTCCAGGTTTTAAACGTACTAAGAATTGGGGAAATCACATGGTTCCCATAAACTGAATTGAAACTCCAGGGTGGTTCTACATATACAATCAGTCCATTGCAGTTGGGAAGTCAGTATACCAAAAAATAATTAAACCCCCATACTACGGTCTTGTTAGGGATAAGGCAACACTGCAAAGGATTTAGTTATCAGGATGAACAATGAATAAAAGACAGGTATGTAGTAGTGACACTGGATTTCCACTCCTAGAGTAACTGCCCCAGATTATGGTGTGTCCTGTGGCTACAAAAAAGTATTTTTGATAGACCCAAGGTGGTTTCTAGTGCCTTCATGCATCAGGAGTGTCTAATCATTGCAACAAGAGGTCCTTTTGCCACTAATAATTATTAGCTGCCCATTTTTCTCACGAGGTGTAAATAGGCATCAGGTAGTTAGCATCATGATTTAAAAGAGTGTGGGAAGAGTTGATGTTCCAAGCTTCCAAACAAAGGTGCTGCTGGTGGCGTTGATTAGTGCTGATGATTTTTTAATTATCCCACCCAATTGGATGATTTGTTAGGCATGTGTGCTATTACAAAGTTGAATTTTCTTTTTTACAAAAGAAGACTGCTTTTTGATGCTCTTTCAAACATGTACCAAACTCACGTTTGGTCTGTCTGACATACTCATGGTCACAGTCCATAGAATAGAACAAATAGTGTTCTTGGTTTGTTGTTCTTTCATAACAGGATCCCTTGGCAAAAATATGCCCCAAAGTCTGAAAAGGTTTTTGAGCAACCTTAGCTAATTACTGAGCATATAAAAGGACTTCTTGTTGCAACAATTAGATCATCCCTGTTGAGGGCACTAGACAGAAGTGTCGAAATGTTGGGTTGATGACTTGTAATTTTCTCAGTTACATTCATTAAATCTTTAAACCAGAGTAGCATCAAACCATGTCTGAATGCCCACCTGGTTGCTTTGTTAACTGAAATATCAAGTACTTTTGAGTAATCATCATTTTATTATCACAGCCACATCCCACAAGGGTGTCATTCTTCATGATTGTCATATACTGCGGCAATTGTGAGAACCCTTTCAGATTCTTTGGAGATTCTCCGGACATGGAAGCAATCTCCCAATCTCCTGTTCTGAGTAAGGCTTAATTACAAAAAAATCTTGCAAGGTACCTCTCCTTATGATATTTCAGTACTTTGAATTCCTTCAAACTTTTCTCAATTTCTTAATAACTGTTTGTCTTCCATGCTGCAACTGTTTCTGTATCGGTGCATGTTTGCTGATTGTCACACAATCTCTAATAGCTCTGTACACTTGCTCTATAATGTGCTTTGTCAACTGTGGCACAATCAACTCTTCATCTGGCAACTGCTGTGTGAGTGATCTATTATGTTTTGTATTTTCATATTACATTTGATAACAGGAAAAGAACAGGAAAAGAACAGTAAAATCTGTTCAAGTTCATACCTTCCGACCTATCTAATGCCCTTTTGAAGGAGGGGATCTCAGCAGTTTGAGCATTCTTTACAACAGGCATCTATGATAAAGTCAGACCTTCACGTAAAAATGTTTCTTGGATTCTGTTTCCCAATTGTCTGTTATTGTTGGAGTGACTCGAGAATTTGGGAAATTATTATTATTAAGCTGACAAAACACTACATGTTACAATGTCAATTTTCCCATGATTAATAGATAGATAGATAGATAGATAGATAGATAGATAGATAGACGTTTATTGAGAAGAATACCCTAATAGCAGCTGGAAGCTGAATTGCAAAGGTGTACAAATTATGTAATAGAACTATACAATAAAATCAAACCTAAAAGGGAACTAATTTACATATACAATTGTAATAAATGTTGGTTAAAATGTCTTGCGCTTGCTGGAATGAAAGTATCTCTGAACCGATTTGTTTTAAAGGAAACTCTAAATGGTCTGCGTTGTCGTAACTCCATAAGTTGATCTCGGTTATCGAAAGGCAGTAAGTGGTACAAACAATCCAAGGGATTGGAGACGATGTTGTTAAAGAATTTTAAGCAAAGGTCTTCTCTCCGATCCCTTAGGGTTTTCAGCTCTGCCATCTGAAGCACTTCTCTATAATGATTATCATAACCGTATATAATTTTCAAGGCTCTCTTTTGGACACGCTCTAAAC